CTGTGAATTTCCCTGTCCGTGGTCAGAGAGAGAGAGAGGCTCATCTAGAGGTGACTGGAACCYAAAGCTCCTCTTCAAAGCACGGGTGGTGAACTCAAAGCCCTTCTGTTGGGGATGGAAAGAAGAAAGAAATGAGATGGGCACTCCTCACTGCCACATGGCTGGCAGGAAACACAGGGTGGCCCCCTGGCCCTGGGATCCACGTGKGGGAGTGTTCCCACAGCTTTCTCACCACGTGAGACTGGCCTTCATCTTGAGCCAAAACAGCAGGGGCCTGTTGATTCAGTCTCAAGGTGTCCAGGACCAGCTGATAACAGAGGTAAGAGGCCTGCGGCACCCACGGAGGCTGCGGTCTGGGTGGTGGCTGCAGAGGGCATCCAACACCCGGACGTGTGGACATCAGTGGACATGGCCACCTGACAGGATGGGGCAGATGAGAAGAGCCAGGGCTGAAGCCCAGCTGGGGCAGGGCAGGTGGTGGGAACCCTGACCAGGCCCCACGGGTGCAGGCAGCACAGATGCCACACACCCCAGGAACCAGCCACCAAAACGCATGTGTGTGTTTGTCTTGGCAAATACCCTGTGTTTCCTGTCCCCGGGTGCCAGTAGCAGGCAAAATCAGAGGAAGGACAGCAGGGTGACTCAGTGGAGGGCCACATCAGCCACAGCCACAGGCTGGGCCTCAGAGCCATTCTGAACTCATGGACTAGTACACTGCCTCACTTAACCCTTACCCTAACCTCCCTGGTAGGCATGAGCATTATTAGCCCCGTTTTACAGATGAGGATACAAGGCTCAACGAGGTCAAATGACTTGCCCATGCAGGTGGCACTAAAGCTGACCTGAGCACACGACTCTGCCCCCAGGACTCTAGGCTTCTATCTGCTACACGGCACAGACTGCCCAAGACCCAGGAAGCCTGTCTAGACAGGCAGCTTCCCATGCTCAGCCAGCGTGCACAGCACTCAGGGTGCCGTCCAACCAGGACAGCGGCACACTAACCCCCTCCTGGGTGCTTCGCACCAAACCATTCTTTGTGCAATGACCCGAGAGTCGAGGCTAAAGTAGAAAATGGAAAGAAAAGAGACGACCCAGATGTGGTTGAGTCAAGGCACATGGGCCCCCGGAGGTCTAGGGTCCTCAGGATGCCTAGAAGCCATGGGAGCCATGGCCAAGAAAAACCTGATAGTCACCAGGCAGCTCCAAGCATAGGGAATGAACTCTGGAGTAGAGCGGCTTGCAGAGGCCAGCGTGCTCCGCTCCATGCCCAGTGGCCTCCAACGGTTGAAGGACTCCCGATGCTCTTGCCCTTCAGGGCAGCTCAAAGCCCTGTCCCTCCCRGCCCTGCCTAGCTCGACCAGCCTTTCTCCATGACCCTGACCCTGTGCCCAAGTCCATCCAGACTCCTCCGCCTCTTCGTGGCCCAGCTGCACTCCCCCACGGGCAGCCCAGCCACAACAAGCACTGCCCAGGTGACCAATCCCAGGACAGGCATCACACCAGAAGGTGTCCGGCCTGGTCTTTAYGGCTCCCACAGTATCCAGAACCAGGCTGGCACCTAGTAAGCGCTCAGCRACATCTTCAGGTAAATAAAGCACTGAGGCTCTTTCTTCCAACTGAAAATCTCTCTGTCCACATCTTTGGCTCTCAAAGTCCTGCTGGCRCAGTAGCACCGTGGCACTTTGAACACAGCAACAGAGTTCTGTGGCCACATCCCATGCAGAGTGTCCATTTTCCCCTCCTCTCAGGGGCCCAGGACTATTTGATGCTGAACACAACAGGRGTGGCAGCAAGATGGATTTCCATGTGTCACCAAACTCCTTAATATTCCTCCCTTAGTTGGAGCCTGTCTTCCTACTTCTGAATACAGACTGAACTTGGTGGCTTGCTTCAAGTCACTAAAGCGGAAGTGACAGTTTGACATGGTGGGGCTAAGTCCTCAAAGAGCCCTTTGGCTTCTGTCTTTTTTGATTCCTCTCTGGTGGGTTGCTGTGTGGAGATCAGCTGCCGTGCATGAGGGGACCAGCCAGGGGCAAGGCACTGAGGCCCCATCAGCAGCTACAGGTGACCTTGGAAGCAGTTCTCCTCCCAGCCATGTCTCAGGAAGGCTGCACCCAGAGCAGTCTCCATGGCTCCCTCAGACTCCCTGAGCCAGCTGAGCTGCTCTAAAGGCTGTGAAGAGACCGTAGCTCCTTGTTTCGTGCTGTGCAGTTTAGGAGTAAAGAGAAGCAGGGCAGCTTTTTAGACCAAGCCTTAAGAAATAAGCAATGCCTGCTGCCTGTCCCTTGGGATGCTCCCTCCTGGTACCAGCAGCCAGGGTGTAAGGAAGTCAAGCTGGCCATGGCGGAACCGGTAGAGCACAGCCCACCAACCCATGTGCCTACACAGCCTTGGAAGTGGTGCAGCCAGCCCTAGGTCAGAGCCCCAGCTGCCAGGGCCAAGCCCAACCCAAGTCACCAACACACAGGTAACATAAATGACTGTGACGTGTTAAGTCCCTAGACCCTGAGATGGTTCGTTATGTGGCAACAGATACAGAAGACACTGGGCATRGGGGCTGCAGGTGCCACCATAACAAAACCCCAAGCTCGGGACACTGGACTTGGTGCCAGGCAGTACTTGGGAGCGCAACAGGCCCCAGTGACACAGGAGGCCTTTGGTTTGGACAGAGCTCCTGCACGGGGCCTAAGAGATCAGCCAAAATGAGGTGGCTTGYGCTGAAGGCCACCACATCACACCACAACTACCCTGACCATCCGAGAAGTCGGGAGAGGGAACGGCCAAATCCCCCAGACGACTCGGTCCTAGCCGGCATGGTGGGACAGTCACTCAGTAGAACTTCTCAGGAGAGATTACTCCAAGGATCACCCTTTTGGGCTCTCCACTTCTGCTTTCTCAGCCCTTCTCCCCATGAGCCCAAACCTCCACCTGGCTCACTGCAGCATTTGCTCATTTTTATACAATGAAGTGTGGTCTGATTCCAGAAATACAAATAAAATCCAATTATCTTTAAGCTAAATTTGTTTCGAGGTTGCCTCTCAAGGAGACTAAAAGGAAAGTATCACGCAGAGCCAGAGGAAAGGGGACCCACCTGTATCCTGGTGGCAAAAAGTCCCCCAGTTATCCTGTGCGGTGATATAGGAAAGGGCTCCTGATAAATATAATCACACTGCCAAGGTCATTTCAAGGCAGGTTACAGAAGTGTCCACCAGCTTCCTGACACTGCCTGTGACAAAACRCCAGGGAGAGATGAATAAAGAAATGTTAAATCCAAAATGATCCARGACTCTCAGGTTTGAAGATAAAACTATTGCTACTCTCAGCCTCTGCAGATAGCGAATGATTCTCAAATTAAGGAAGGGCCTCAGGCCATGGATCAGACCCAGGATGGGTCTCCGCATCTGAGACAGCAAATCACAGAAACCTCCAGATGGTCCAAAGGCCCAGCCCACTAAGGAAGGGCCTCTAAGAATCTCAGGGGCGCTGTCCTTCAGTGCTCAGCTAGAGGAGGGCTTCTAGGCAGAGGTATATCACAGTGGCCATGGTCCAGTGGACAGAGAACCTACCACTCCAAAGGTTCTGAAGCAGGAAAAAACAGAAATGGAATGGTGCAGAGGTGAAGAGGGCTGAGCTCCCGGCCACCAGTACAGTCCCAGGACAGCCGCAGAGAGGCCTATCCTGCCAGGAGCCCCAAAGGTAACGGGAAGCAGAGGTCGGGAGTCACCCTGGCAGCAGCCAGCTCAATCTGTCCTTCATCCTGTTGGGCCTCACCCGTTTTCTCCAGCTGGCCCAGGAGCTGAAACAGGCTCCTGGCAGAGCCGCCTGCAACATGCCATCTAAGACTCATCCCCAGATTCTGAAAAGAGCTTCCGGGCTGGAGYGAAGGCTCCTCTCCTGGATCTGCAGGGAAGCCATCCACCTGTGCTCCTGCAGAGACACATTGAGTAAGACAGACCAAGTCCCTGACTCGGAAGCGAGGCTGTGTTCAATCACAGCAAATGGGGCCATAATTCCAAGTAAACGGCACAAGAGGCTGAGCCAAGCCTCACACCCGCAGCCGYGTTCCGTGGTTGTAAATTACTCATGTGGATGCACCAGGGACCAAGCTGCTCGTTAGCTGCCAACATTAGCTGCTTAATGATCCGAGGAGCAGAAGCTGCCAATCACTGCTTCCTTCTTAGAACACCCTCTAAAATCCACACATGCAATTATTACACCTCCACTAAATGTTTATGATTTCTCTGAAGCTCTGGGCTGTGGACCCTTTCAACCTATAAGTTCAGAGAAATCCTCGAGGCCGCCACACTTCCTGGGTCACACCTCCATGGATCACACCCTGGGGCGTCTGGACTCTAGACCGTGATCTGCCAGTGCTCAGTTGCCCCAGTGAAAGTAACCAAAGGCCACACCCCACGCCTTGGTCTCCCCACCTGGCCGTTGGTCATAGCCTCTCTCCCACCTACATAATACAGTTGTCACAGAAATCACATAAAATGACAAATCGGAATGTTTGAAAGTTCTATTCAAATGACAGAATAAGGCACTGCTTTCAGAAATGTGTGTTTTCAAGCTATGATTTAAATACACCTCTCAGTATCTTCCAGAGGGAGGAGAAACAACTATCTCCTGAGAAGTCTCCGGCTCCACTACTGGACCTCACACAGGTCCGTCAGCTAGTCTCATGTTACCCTTCCCTTAAGAGGGGCCTGGGCACTCCAGCAGCCCGGAAGGAGGTCTCACCTCACAGGGCTGTGAAGAGCAGCATGTCCTCCCCCCAGTCTGTTGGAGGAGCGGGGAACCAAGACCACGTGGTCGCAGCACAGATAGGAATGCAAGAGGTACTTTCCAGGTTCATCTAGCCCCCCATGAGGAAACCTTGCTGCCCCCGTCTCCAGAACAGCTTCGGGGTGCCTAGTGTAAGTACCCTAACAGCAGAATATTAAACTGAAGGCAAAGCACCCAAACACAAGGGGGCGCTGTCCTGAGCAGCGGGCAGTCACCTGATATGGCAAGCGCTTTGGCTTCACGCAGGGCCGGCAGTTGGGTCTCTAGGTGGCTGACTCTCCTCCTCAGCCTGCTGCAGAGGCTCCCATTTGTGCAGACCTGGAAGGGGAGAGACAGCAGAATGGTGCATGCTCGAAGACCAGAGACCATGGTGAGCCCACTCACTCCTAGCAGCTGGGCTTGTGGAGATGGTTAAGAGCGACAGCAGGAGGCCTCCCAGCAAGTACATCATGGGCAGAGGGAGTCACAGAAGAAGGGGTAGGAGGGGTGGCCAACACAGCACATGCCAAGCAGATCCCAGACCCTTCACCGCGCTCTTGTGGACCAACCTGCCCACGTGCAATGGGAAGGAGCCGCCTCTGCCCTCCGTGGCTCTCTCCCCACCCTTGTCTGAAACACACCTGCCCAGCGGCTAGCGCACCAGCACCCCTCAGGGCCATCTGCCCACTTCCTGGGAAGAGAGGCCTCGCTGATTACAAGCCCAAAATAGCAGACCCTCCTGCCCCCTTCGCCCTCTTGTGCCCTAGCCTCTTCTCCAGGACGCACCCGTCGTTTCCATTCCTTATTTTACCCTCTCTCCTCCAGGGCTCAAGCACGCTGGGCTTTGGTCCCTGGCCCGTAGTAGGCAGTAGATTAAGATATGGCCTTTGAGATCAAGGTCAGAGCGGCAAGCTAAATTTAATTACTAGTAGACAGTCTCTAGGGAAACTCCAGGGCAGATCCTTGCTGGCAAGTCAGATTTGAAAAATAGACCAGCCGCTCTCAGGAGGTCTGCTGCTTTTATCATTTATCTTCCCACTCCAAACACTTCCTACAGTTTTCTGTTCATCTCAAAAAAAAAAAAAAAAAAAAAAAAAAAAAAGTCTTAAACCTCAATCTCTTTTTTTCAAATGCCTCTGGGTTATCTTTTAGTAATGATCTGAGGCTAAAATATCACAATTTTTTCCCTTTGTCTAAGGCTAAAATCTCATATTCATCCATTATCTATATGCAGATTAATGAGCTACTTAGAAGTATTTCCTCTTTGACACGAGCACACAGCATAGTGTTAGTAAGAATGAAGAGAACTGCGGAGCTATCTGGATGGGCCACAGAGGGGGTCACCTGAACCATTACTCTTTTCTTGCCAAAAATCTGAGCCTCCATTCAAAAATAAAATCAGCCTACCCAGGTTCACAGAGCCCTAAGGATAAATTTTAATTTCCGCAGAGCAATTGATGACACATGGGTACYATCAGCTCAAGTGCTTTGCCCATGTCAGATGGAAGAGAGGTGGGTTTTAGGACCCACATGACCTCGCCCAGGTTCCTACAGCCGTCCATGGAACTGCATGGACTCTGGGGCCCCGGCCTGCTGGGCAGCTGAACACACTTGCTGGATGAAGACATGGTTGGCAGCCTGCACGCCTGAGCCCACGCCAGCAGTGCCCTGCATCCACACATCCACAGGGATCCATCTTCAGACCCTCTCAATGACTCAGGGTTTGTCAGAATGTCAGAACCAGGAGCTGAAAAGAAGATGTCCCCAACACCTTCTCCAGCTCTAAGCTTGGGTTGGCTCTGTGACCGGTGACTGGCACATCCCATCCCATCCATCTAAAACTGTCAACGGAAATCCAACAGCATTTCTGTTAATTCTACGACACGAGCCAGAATTCTAGATCTTGTTTAATCTGTGTCTAACAGTTCCGGTTTTAGTTAACAGTACCTGTTAATCATAATAGGGTCAATTTCTCCTTTGTTGAGCAAAGCCATCCTTCAAGCTGTCACTATCAACATGAAACATCCTTTCTACACTTTCTTATAAGGTTGCAATGTACATTCCTTTGGGCTCTGCTGGGTATAATGTAATATCCACCAATCTCCAGGTATTCTGCTTATTTCCAACTATTTCTTTCATCTAGTTTATCCCTTAATTACCTTTGGTTTGGGTAACCCCTGAGAGTTGAAGGAACATGGCGTGGGCAAGGAATTTTCTCCCTGAGAACACCAGGGCTGTGTGTGCCTGGCAAGCTGAGACTTGTACCTCATGCCACCAGCCAACCTGGTCTAGAGTGGAAAGACGGTATTCTGTGTGGCCAGAGAGGTTGGCTGTATTCACTGTGGGCTCACATGTGCTCTCCAACACACACACCATGGATRTGTACAAACACAGGCCCCCACACACATGCACGTGCACACAAACCCAGAAAATCTGCGCAACCTACTTACAAATAAAATYAGACCCTGAGGAACTCATTATTGAATGGAGATTTTTATGTTTACATTTTAAAATCTAAGCCATGATTTCCTTAATTTTATGGAAAAGTATTCAAGTTGTTATAAATGTACCAGAGATGGGTGTGTGACAGCTGGAGTGCCTATGTCCCCAGATGCACACACATTGAGACCCTAACCCCTGTGAGCTGGCACAAAGAGCTGAGGCTGTAGGAGGTGGCACGAGAGTAAGGCCTCATGGAAGGGATCAGTGCCCTATGAAAGGGACCCCAGACGGCACTCCTGCCCTCTCTCCACCAGGTGAACACTGGGAGAAGCCAGCCATCTGTGACCACAGGGCCCTCCCCAGAGCCTGACTGTGCTGGCCTTAGACTTCCAGCCTTCAGTGCTATGAGAAGAGAATTCCTAGTGCCCAGAGCCACCGAGCTGCAGTGCTTGGATAAGCAGCACAGACAGACCAGGACAGTATGCAGATAAAGGAACCCAGGTCCTGGGCGAATCCAAGGTCCAGCAGCAACCGGGCATGATTGTGGGGCTGCCTCCTGCTCCTCTCTCTGAAGGAGCACCCCCAGGAGGTGCTCAGGAACACCAAGCAGGTTTCAAGCGTCCCTGGGTTCCTGGGCCTGGTGCCCTCTTATGGACACCATGGCTCCTCAGGGAAGCTCTCCTTCTATGCAAGTACCACCCTTCAAACATGCTGCCGAATATCCATTAGAACATCACTAGTGCTGTTTTTAGAAATGATTGAGACCCAAAACCTGAGAAAAGAGCCATAGTGACTGTCACATGCTTGCCAACAACCCATTCTAATGTGGATTAGCTGCCGTGAACGCCAGGCCCTTAGCACGCCTCCTCCTCCAGGGCCCGAGACTCTCCTCTGGATGAGCACAGGAAGAAGATCCTCCCAGCCAGTGGGCTCTCTGCTGGGCACCTGCTCTTTCATGACCCGACCACCTTAGGACCTCCCAGGCTCCCAGACCTGAGACCAGGGAGGAAGAGGTGGTGCCCAGGCTATGCCGCAGCATCCGGCAGAGAACCTGCTAAGCAGAGGCACTCGATGTTCACAGCAGCCCCTGTCCCTGTCCCCGAGCCGAGAGCCCTTCCAAAAGCCAGGGCCCTGTGGATGGCCACAGATCAGGACCCACCAGGACGCAGCCCTCCCTGGCTCTCTGGGCTCCCCTCCTCTCTTCCTGAGCCCACATGGTCTGTGACATAGACAGTAAGTCAGAGAAAACCTCTGCGGTACTTACCTCAGTGGTGACTTCTTTAAGTGATAGGTTGAGGGATTTTATCCTCTCCTGGAGGCTGGAAGAATCAAAAACAGGACATTGGTCTTCCTGGAACCACAGGTGGATACCCCTGCATCAAGAACACTGAAAAGAATGAGTGCCCACCACCTGGGGCTGGAGAGAAGCAGCRGCAAGAAGATGCCAGACTGACCCCACGGGGCATGGCGCTGACGTGGCACTCGGGAGCAGAGCTCGCCTCCTACTGATGCTTTACTTGGTCAGTACTACACCCGCCACCATCCCCAGGGCACGTCTGCTGGCACAGGACTRCAACCCATGTGCCTCCCAGCAGCAAAGCACTCAGACCTGTGACCAGCTTGCAGAAGTCACCCTGCCTGGGCAGCTCCCACTGGTGGGAATCAACCTCCACGTGGGTGCCATGGGCTCAGCGCACACGCACGCGGGCCCCTGCATCAGGGCAGCCTGTTGGAGATGCGCAAGGAAATCATGTCTTAACCTGTGCCTGCTCCGTCTTCCTCTCCCTCCCACGCACTCCTCACCCCCACAGAGTGAACCTCAGCGAGTCCAGGATCAGTGCGCTGCCTGCCTCCAGTTTCCCCAGGGACCAGGGCAGTCCTGGGGTGGTTAGAAGGCTCAAAGTCCATGGCACAAGTGAATGGACACCAAAAGACCTGGATCTTGTCCTCAAGGCTACTKCCCAGTGGAGATGGCACATGCAGACCACCAACCACAGCACAGAGCAAGATGAGGAGGACCAGGAGGTGACACAGGAGGGACCGCTCCACCAAAGCTGCCACAAGGCAGAAACTGGGGGCAGTTCAGAAACCAGGGAACGTCGGAAGCCACCAGGAGAGGTGGGAAGTGAGCCCGGCCTCAGAGCAGCAGGGAGGGCCGCAGTGTGGGAACAGGCGGAGCATTCCAAGTGGCCCCATGACCAGCTGCACCAGACACAGGCCAACAGGAAGGAAGGTGCGGGGGTGGGGGGTGGTGAGGGGACCAGAGTGAACAGGGGATGGCSACACCGTCTAATCTCAGTGGGGACAAATAGGCAGCTGGCATGCCATCCAGGCTGTGTGACTGCTACGAGGGAGGTGACCCCTGAAGGACCACCAAGCTCTGGTTGGCCTTCAGCAGCCGGCTGAGGAGCTAGAGCTTCCCTAGGCTCTGGGATCATTCTGGTATCATTCTGGTTTGGGACATGAGAACAACAGAGAAGGGATATTTTTGGTTTGGGGAAAATTAATTGGGTAAAGCGATGAAAGAAGACTTTGAAAAATAAATCAGTGTGAAAACCAGGCAGCTCCTTCAGCTAGGCCAGGCGTGGGGTCCAAGCCTGCAGAATGGAGGTCAGAAAGGAAGGGGAGGGTCAGGCCACAGGGCGTGGTGAGGTGAAGAGTGCCGGGGAGCCCTTCTCCTTGATCCGCTCAGGAACCCACTCATCTTCCAGTGCTCGGCACAAAGCCGAGGCCCTTGCAGTCTACCATCTGCAGCTGCCAAGAATGCAAGACACTGTCGTGGTGCAGAAAGAGGATGGTCCTTGATAAACGGTGGACTGCCGAAGGCAACGCCAGGATGCAGGGTACTGCAGGGCAGGAGGACACTTGGAGCACCTTGCCAAGCAGGAGTGGTGAGGTCTGGATTAGAGCTGAGTGGCCAGTTTGCTGGGCTTGCTGCCTTCTCCACCTGCTGCGAACACACACAGACTCATTTCAGCTGCCAGTCCCCAGAGCCGGAGCAGGCACAGCCGTCACCAACCTGAGGCCTGCTCTCACCTGTGGAGGGTCTTCTATCCAGCTGAAGTCKACCCACAGGAGGAGTTGAGGGTGACAAGGGGCAGGGCACGTGGCATCAGAGTCCTCTGATTCGGGGTCACCATTCAACAACAATGAGGGTGACCGTGGGCACCGTGAGAAACAAGTCAGCTCCTGCCTGGAGAACACCCTGCACTGCCTGGCTGCAGCCCAGGTTTCTTTTTTTTTATTTTTTTAATATTTATTTTTTAGTTTTTGGCAGACACAACATCTTTGTTTGTATGTGGTGCTGAGGATCGAACCCGGGCCGCACGCATGCCAGGCAAGCGCGCTACCGCTTGAGCCACATCCCCAGCCCTGCAGCCYGGGTTTCTGAGAGAAGGTAAGTCTGAGGGTCCCGCTAGCACACAGAGCAGGCAGGTCCAGCCACAGAGGCTGCGGGGACAGAGGGGCAGAGCTCCTTAGCCAGGGCCTGGACTGTTCTGCCTCTGACCCCAGCAGCAACAGCACCAGCTCCAGGTAGTTCTGTCCCTCTCCAGGCCCAGGGAGTCCATTCAACTCACAGACAGTTAATAAAGGGTTCCCACATACCTGGACCTGCACCAGCATCCAACAGCACAGTGTGAGCACAGGCTCCCAGACACACCCAAAGTCGAGCTCACCCACTGACAGCTGAGTAGAAAGGAGGCTGCTTTCAGATACTGAAACTTAGCTGGCCCAAGTGCCAGCACCTTGGGCTGACGTCTAACATACCAAACTGAAAACCAGCCAAGCTCCAACTTTCTAGAGGTTGATGCAGTTCACGGGCCTGGACAGATCTGGCCCTGCTCTGGAAAGAACACTGGTCTCCTATCAAACATCCATGATGGACCAAGAGGCAGCGAGGCAGATAATTGGATGCATTGTTTTATATTTGATTTGATTTATATTTAATTTACTTAATTTATGCTATATTACTTTTTCAGTAGATTTACCTTCCTAATTATGTTTTGCTCAGACTAATATTAACATAGTTGCATCCCTGGGGTACACACGGAATGAGAGCAGTGGGGGGTGAAGAATATGAATCATCATCACCAGGCTGGGGCTTTCGAGATATTTTTAGAGTGAGGCCTCTTAAAGTGCTGCACAGAACTGACACATCATGTGGGTTCCGGGGCTCTGTCCCCTGGCGCAGGGACCCCACGCCCACTGGGCACTGCCGCCATCACACTGAGGTCCCTGAAATCAGCTCCAGAAGCAGGTTTTGAACAGGAAACCACCAGAGTTAAATGCCTCKTGGGCTTCAATCATCAAATGGAGTCCCCGTGTTTCAAGAGCATTCCAGGTTGTTTGTGAAGGTGGTGAACTCTCAGATCCAGTCATGCCGTGCAGTCCACACAGACACTGGACAAGCTTCCACTAACATCTGAGTCTACTCTATGGCAGTGAGTATCCTCCCTTAGAACAGCCGCCTGGGAGCAGCAGAGGCTAGCATTCCTGGGGGCTGCTGTGTGCCGGCACTGCTCCCCATCCTCCACACAGACGAGTGGATCTGGGCTTCCTATAGCTCTGAGATGCAGGCGCCATGATTATCACACTTCCTGGCAAGAAAACTCAGAGAGATTCAAGCAACCTGCTAGGGCCAGCCAGCTGAGGAGCCAAGGCTAGGGTTCTGGGTCCTCCTGTAGGACAATGGACAGTATTGGTCCATGTCCAAGGCCATCCTCACATCCAGAGGTTCTAGGTCCTCCTGTAGAACAGTAGACAGCACTAGACCATGTCCAAGGCCATCCTCACATCCAGGGGTTCTGGGTCCTCCTGCAGGACACTAGACAGCACTAGTCCATGATCAAGGCCATCCTCACATCCAGGGGTTCTGAGTCCTCCTGCAGGACACTAGACAGCACTAGTCCATGACCAAGGCCATCCTCACATCCAGGGGTTCTGRGTCCTCCTGCAGGACACTAGACAGCACTAGTCCATGATCAAGGCCATCCTCACATCCAGGGGTTCTGGGTCCTCCTGCAGGACACTAGACAGCACTAGTCCATGATCAAGGCCATCCTCACATCCAGGGGTTCTGGGTCCTCCTGTAGGATGGTAGATAGTACTAGTCCATGTCCAAGGCCATCCTCACATCCAGGGGCTCTGGGTCCTCCTGTAGGACAGAACTAGACCATGGTCAAGGCCATCTTCATATCCCACAGTTTGGGTTGTCTCCAGATTACTCTGGACACTGCTCACCATGTTCAAGGTCATCTTCATGTCCAATTTCCTTAACAGCATCATATGATAGTAGGCATAGACTTCAAAGAATTTGTCCAGGCAATGGTCACACATCCGAGCCCTCCCTGGATCTCACCTGGTGTCACATCAGGCTGAAGGACATGAGCAGGTGTACTACCTATAAAGTGAACAGTCCAGGTCTCCAGCCCAGATCCACCTCCTACCACACTCTCCATTTCCAGGTTTCAGACTACACCCAGCATTAGCAGGGAAAGCCCTTGGATGGGCTCTTGCCCTGAGTCGAACTCACAGGCAATGCAGAGGTTCACAGGAGGGTCTCTGAGGAGTGCACTGCCAGGAACATCCACTGGTAAGGCCAGAGCAGTCTGCGTGTTTCCAGGRTGCTGCCGAGAGGGGCATGAAGATGCAGACAGACAGGGGGACGAGTTTCAATGAGCTGGATCCAGCCACAGCCTGAGCCTATGCCCCTCCCCAAGGCAGAAGCCAGGGCATGGATTTGCACAGGGAAATACCAGGGCTGGGAGGGGAACGGAATGWCCTGGGCAGATCCTAGGCTTGCTGCTTGGGAGGAGTGACCCCCATATGACAGAGCCATCATTTGCTGAACATGGAGCCATGGGCCAAGGGCCAGGCTAAAGCTTCAGAAGACTGACCTCCCTGTACAGAAAACAGCAGCTGGAAGCAGGAGAGAGCTGAGAGGCTTCACCAGTCACTCCCTCTCCTGGGTCCCCGGCACCAGCTCCTGAGCCAGGGGTCACTGTTGTCATCCTCCCCCAATCAGTGGGTGAGGGAAAGGGAGGGAGACTGAGAGGGACAGGGAAGGTGCTGAGGTCAGAAGCCCTGCCTTGGCSCAGTGYGGAGCCCCACTGCATCTGCCCGCAMGRTGCCCACAGGGCTGCCACATCACTACCCACCTCAAGCCCTGGGCACCATGCGTTTCCCTATCCCTCATGTCTCAGCATGTCTTCCGTCTGTCTGTCCAAACTAAGATGATGAGCTCCTGAGCACCAAGGRCCAAGTCCTGGGAACCCTCCACAGTGCAGAGCACAGGACGCGGTCCATGGTAGACAGACAAGCGAGCTGCAGGGCAAGGACAAACGCCAGGCAGCAGTTCCCCTCTACTTATGGAGACCTCAGGGAAATTACTAACCTGCTCGCACTTTCCCTTGGCCGTGAAATGGGCACAGAGATGGAGCCATTCAGAGAGCAAAGCTCGACACACTGCGTGGTGTGGACGGGCTCACCAGATCCTGGCTGCCAGCACTTCCCCTCTTCCCAGTGGAAGTACCCAGACTGGGTGCCTGTCCCTTGGTAAGCAGCCACCTTCTCCTGATGACGGTTCTCAGCAGAGATGGCATCAGAATTTCTAGCCAGCCGTGCCCAGCAGTCTTCAGAACGAGAAGCTGCCCTGGGGATATCTGGAAGCTGCCTGTGGGATGAGCTGCCAGGAGGAGCTCAGGACAGCCTCGCATATGAAGAACCTTCCCACTGAGACTCTGATAGTGCTTCCGTCAAAACATGCGGAGAACTTAGGGAACACCTGCAGCCCAGGGCAGCCAGCAAGGTCCTCCCTCACCCAGGCCTAACCCACAGTCCCCAAGAGCAATACCTCATTATGTCTTCCGGTGGCTCTGCCTGGAAGTGCAGCTGACCAGCTGCGGTCAGTGTGTCTTGCAGGGCCTTGCTGAGTGCCTGCAGCTGGCCCAGGGGCAGCCGGGCCATGGGCTCCATCAGACCACAGCCCTGCCACCGGAGCAGTTGCTCCTGCTCCTCCAGCTCCTGCCCCAGCCGCTGGTTCTCAGCCTCCAGCACAGACAGCCTCCTTTGAAGAGCTTCCATTTCTTTCTGCAGAGAACCCAGAGGACAGAGTTGGTGAACTGATCCCACCCCAGGCAAAGGGCCGCTGATGGTGATGTGTGTAGGTGAGGGCAGGCGTAGGGACAGGAGCCGTCACCGGCCCTTGGAGCCTGCAGGTTCAGAGCTGGCTGACCTAGGAGAATCGCAGCGGCCTTCTGTTTCTGGAGGGTTGGCAGAGCACGGAAAACGAGGGGAGCAGGCCCCGGATCTGACTGGAAGGGCAGCCCATAACAACGGGCTGACTTCATGCCAAATGCACAGACAGCGAGAACACGGCAGCAAGCTTCCCACAGAGACCCRAGCCACAGGCCAGCACAGGGAAGGCCGCTCTGCCCCCAGACACAAGAACTTACAGAGGAAAATGTAAACCTGGCTCTTGGGACTGCAGGTTGAGAGGCACCGAGATGCTGCAGAGGTGGGTGCCTGGCACCTGAGGTCCATGAAAACAGCCCACGAATCTAACTTCCACCCACGAAGCAAACCCAGGTCCACACGGCCCACAACTATCACCCGAGCTCGAGGTCAATGAATAAAAACGGCAGCAGGTGACGGAGCACCAGTGTGGGCACCGTGTCACGGCCAGAAACCACAACACCGCCTTGGGCTCCTGAACTAAATCAGAGTTTCTGGGCGCGAGCCCCGAGTTCTRGGCACTGCTCCCGGCCGAGGAGAACACAGCCTCACCCCAGGGTCTCCATCCCTGGMGCACGTTCTTTCCTCCCCCCGGGCCACAGGCTCTCTAGGGCTTCTGCCTTCTGAAYCACCTCCTGCCCAGGAGCAATGAGAGAAATGTCAAGGGAAACAGCACCCCAAGTCTCCGCAGACCCACGTCAGGCACAGTCGACAGGGCCCCTCACCAGCCTCTGGCTCCTCCCGACACCAACCGCATACCTCGCCTTCTTTTCTCTTTTTGTTTTTTTGTTTTTAACTGCTGTAAAATACAACGCAGGATCTGGCACCACAGCCAGCTCTAAGTGCACAGCGCGGTGGTGAGGTACACACCCAGCGTCCCCTGTCTCCTCCACCACCCATCCCAGAACCCTTCATCTCCTCTAACTGGAACTCTGTCCCCCTTAAACACCAATTCCCCCGCCCCTGGCAACCAGCACCAGCACTTGCTGTCTATGCACCCAGCTCCTCTAGGAACCTCAATGGAGTAGGATCACGCAGTCTTTTGTTCTTATGCGACTGCTGATCTCACTCCTCCATGCTCATCCACGTTGTAGCGGGTGTCAGGACTTCCTTCCRTTTTGAAGCCTGCATAATACTCCCTCAAATGTCCACACCACATTTTGTTCATCCATTCATTTCTTGCAGAACCTAAGGGTTGCTGTCACTTTGGCCCATTGTGAACAATGTCCCCATGAACATGAGGTCCAGAAACTTCTTCCAGTCCGTGCTGTCAGTTTTTGAGAAACACACCCAGAGTYAGACTGCTGGGTCATGCAGAGGTTCTATGTTTTATCTGGAGGAAACTGCATGCTATTTTCCATAGGAGACCTATATCCCAACCCCAAGACGGATTCTTTAATGTGTGGTCAGACCTGGTGGTTTCACTGCCTAAACGCCCCAGGGGTCCCCACTGCAGTCAGCGGAAAGCCCAGGCCCTGAAGAGGCCCTGGCGCTCCACCCAGCGCCCCTGCTCCAGCTGCTAGGCCCCTCCCCCAAGTGTCTGTTCCAGCCTCACTCCTCAGCCCACCACCCTGGGCAGCACCCAAACACGCCAGTTACCTGATGAGGCCCTTGCCACGCCTCCCACCTGGCACAGTGCTAGTTCACAGTGGTCCYGACCACAGAGGGCCTCCTGCACGTGGTGGGTGCTCAGGAAGGCTGTGCAGTGTGGGCCTCCGCCGTTCCCCGAGCTATGCCCACATTGTGATCCGGCATCACCATGCCTCTAGCACGAAGCCCCTGGGCTAAAATTGTTTCTCTGTCCCCTAAGACATTCTCAGCGACCGTGCAGAACCCTGACTGGTGACCATGATGAAGCATGGGAGCTAGATCTCACGATTCCTCGCACCTGCCTCCCGGCGAGCCCTCCGGTCACTCTCCTTTCCAATCGAGCAAAGCTGAGCCCCCTTGCRCAGTGGGCTTCCATGGACAAGGAAACGCCCTGCCTGTCGAGGGCTCTTCACTGGCTCACCTGCAGCTGCTGCCGCTCTCCAAGCAGCCAGTCCCGCCGCGYGGCAGTCACATGCAGGCTGTCACCTGCTGTGGGCTCCCGTGGCCACGGCTCTCCTCCGGGTGGGGTTTGGGTGTCCTCGCTGCAGGCCCTAAAGGAACACACACGTGTTGGCACAGGGGTGCAGGACCACAGGTTTTTTAAGAGCAAGAAGCTTCACAGAGCAGCCCAGCTGCTGTGTCCCCTGAGGAAGCCCCCTGTGCGTTTCTGTTAATCACGCCGCCCGCCGAGGCTCTAGCTTTTTCTCCAGGCGGATTCCACCCATCCATCGGACCTGCTCTCTTCCAGACAGCAACCCCTCATCCACGTGTGGCTACCGAGCACCTGGCACGTGACTAGCCCAAACTAAGCTGTAGTGGGAGTGTAAAATGCACATCTGATTTTAAAGACTGCGTGTGAAAACAGTGTGCGGTAACTCACTAGGGAGGCCTCACGCCCAGCACACAGTCCTACGTGCAGTTGGACATATTGGAAAGTCGGTTTCACCTGCCTTTTACTTTTGTTTACTGTGACTAATAGACCTGTTAAGGTCACGAGCAAGGTGCCCATTCTGCTCCACTGGACCTCGCTGACTTGCACCGAAAACAGCAAACGSCAGGCAGAGGAGACCTGAAACAGTCTGGAGTGATGAGAGAGGCTTGGGGCCAGGCTCTGTATCGCAGTTTGCCAAAAGGCTCCCCAAAGCCCCTTAGAACCCTGGGAACACCCCGGCTCTCGCGGGAGCCAGCACCCTCCTCCAAGCCCCCCACGCATCGGCCTCAAAGTTGGCCCCTCAGCCTTACAGCACTCGATTTCTACCTCTTTGCAGGAACAACTTAGAGCAGAACCCTGTCCAAAGTGCAAGGATCCCRTCTGAGGGACACGTCAACCAGACTCCAAGGCAGTGGCCGTGGGGAAGGCAGGACCACATGTGCGGAACCTGGGATCCCGCTCCTTCAGAAAGCTCCACCAGATCAAGACAGAGACACAAGACCCACCAGGCACCCCAGAGAGGGAATCACACAGGGTCAAAGACGCAGCTGTCACCAACAATGGTCTAAATGCAAACCCAAGCAGCAAAAAATGCCACTGCCCACTGACCAACGGGCACAGGTCCCTATAAGCCGAGTCGCTGGTGAGAGCAGAGAGTGGGCCTGGAACACAGCAGGACTGGATTCTACACTCCACCTCTCAGAACCTAGCCTAGGGGAACCGCATGGCTGTGCACAGAGTGCTACAGAGACATCGCAGGATTTCCTAGTGGCCTTGCACTGAAGGCCCAATTGCACGGCCACCTGAGGGCCAGCGTGGTGAACCCCGACCCAAGGAGGTCAGCCAGCAAACCTGGGSCCCCAGGGGCCAGCAGCCCCCAAACTAGGTCAGGAAAGAAGGCAGCATGGTGGAGAATGCCCCTGCCTACTGCATTCTTTTACGGCAATACGCACAATGTGAACCAACTGTTTACAACAACATGCGCGTGAAATAGAAGGAAAACACCGACTGGCTACCAACTCTCCTCTCAGGCCAGTCTTGTCTAGGGCTGCGAGGGTGAGCACACACTGTTTTCTAACAAAAATAAAACACATTTTCCACCTGTTTCCACACATGCTAAGCAGCTGCACTTTGACCTGAACGTGCCCCCACCAACCTGACCGCAGCACTTGGACTTGTCTCAGTTCCAAACATATCCCACCAATACCTCAATTACAAGGGCACGTCTCCATCAGGGATCCTGCCTCAGACAGCTTGGAGCATCAACTCAAGCCCATGTCCTAAGACCAAAGTAAGCCCTGCACACTATGCCTGCCTGTCCTCCTCCTTCCCAGCTCATCAGGAGGAGCCTGAAGCTGCAGGTGCTTGCCCACGTGCAACCACAGGGCCTCTTCCCCTCCACAGGATCATACAGGGCCGCACCCTAGGGAGCTCTCYGAGCCTGGCCCTGAGGAGGTGCTGGGGCCTGTGAGAGCATGAGTAATGCTCTCTGGGGAGTGGGCTCCTGCCCTGACGAGAGGGCTGATGACTGAGAGTAAGCTGTTGGAAGCCAGCTGGCTCCCTGCTCACTGTCCTCTGCACATTCTATCTCCCCTTCTGCTTCCTGCCATGTCATGATGCAGCCAGGGGCCCTCACSCAAGCCAGCACCATGTTGTTTGGATCCTCCAGCTGCCAGAATCATAAGCCAAACKAGCCTCTTTTCTTTACACATTACCCAGCATCAGGTATTGTATTACAGTAAAAGAAGGGTCCCAGACAGTGAGTAATAAGCTTCGGAAGTGTTGTGCTTCTGTCCCCTTCCATTCCCATCCCATCCTGAGCACGCCTTCAGGAGAGTATTACTAAGCCCACCTACCAAGTGCTAGGGGTTGTGCTTGCTGCTGAGGACACCGTGGTAAACAGGCTCGGTCCCTCTGTGGAGCAGGGGCAAACCTATCAACAGACACATCACCCTGCAATGGAGACACGCTCCACCCAGAGAGCACGCCCAGGACCCAGCACCAAGGCAGGACACCCCAGCTTCAGACCTCAGCTGAGCCCACCATCCACGTGCTCAGGAGAAGACCAGGAGCATGTCAGCGCAGCTCCCCAGGGGGCCACAGCCCTGTGGAGAGGAGAGCATGCCTCCATTCCAGGGCCCAACTCATGCAGAGCCCTGGACACTCTGGGGACGGCCACTTACCAGGGCATACCCCACGACTGAGAAGACTGCCTCCTGGACTTAAAGGCAAATAACAGCAGTAGTAACGAGAAGTGTTTACCTGTGGTGACATTGACCACCTGCGCTGGGGACGTGCCCCTTCACTGGACTCCACTGTGTCTGTTAGAGACCTGAAGGAAATTTCAGTATTGAGCTTGCCGACGAGGGAGATGTCTCAGGAGATGGGGAGGCTTGCAGAGGAGGCTCAGCGAGCCCCCAGGAGAGGGGCGGAGCAGGCCGCTCTACGCTGTGGTTCTCGCCAGAGTGCCCAGTGCTGGACCCAGGGGCTGCACCACTTGGCCCGGCCCAGCCCTCTGGACTTTTATTTGGAGACAGGGTCTTGCTGAGCTGCCCAGGTTCCTCAGCCTCCTGGATTGCCCCCAGTGCAGGTGACATCCCACCCACCTGGTGAGAAGTGGCCTGTTGGCYGCTGCCAGGGGCCAGACATGCAGGCGGAAGCACAGCCGTCCAGCTGTCCTTGGACTGACCAACCCAAGTCTTCCCTCCTCTTGATGGAGAGGGCAAGGACATTGAGGCCTTCCCTCCAAGGCAGATGTGGGAGTCAAGCTTGTGCAAGATGTGAYGCTGAGCACCTACTATGTGCAGGCCCTGTCCTCCTACTGGAGCCACCTGGGGAAGGAGAGGGAGCTTGCTGTGCCCTCCCCAGCATCTCCACACTTGCCTCAGGAAACAGGAACTCCTGAGTGATGGACACGTTGTCCTGCATAGGGTGGAGAAGGTCAAGGGCCAGCGGGCCTGAGGACTGCCACACGCCTCGAGACTCCATGAGGCCCTTGGCCCCATGGCTGTGGAAGAGGGTACTTGTCCTCTCTGGGCCCAGGGCTCGGCACATTTTCGTCCTTGACTACGAGGCAGATGCAGCTAGCTCTCAGGACTGCCCCACTGCCCAGCACAGGGAGGGTTCAGCCAATGTCTGGGACTGAAGGAAAGAGTCGCATCCTAGAAACCTAGCCTTGCGTTGTTCTCCCGCTCCGGTCTTTCTTTGCACTCATTCGTTTCCCAATTTGCTCTGCTTGTGCTAATATGGAGAGTTTCCTGAGGGGCTGGGGCTGGGCTCAGTGGCAGAYGATGGCTCAACACAGGGTGGGGGCTGGGTTCTATCCTCAGCACCACCAGTAAATAAATAAGATAAAGATCCATGACAACTAAAAAAAWTTAAAAAAATAAAATAAAATAAAAGAGTTTCTTGAATTTCCTGAATAGAAGCCCTCTGGGTGGGGTGGGAGTCACTGAAGGAAATCATAGGCAGCCACGGAGGAGCTCCAGGGGGTTGCTGGGGATGCTCCGAGTGATRGTTAATCACAGTCATTACTTAATCCACGACAAAGCCCTCGTGACCAGCCGCGGGCCTCTCCAGCTCACTCTCATGTACAGAAGGGCTCCACAGAGGACATGGCGCAGCTCAATAATGAGGCACCTTCCACGTCCTCTGTCCTCAGCACCAGGCTCCCTCTGCCCCGAGGATGTTCCCTTCACGTTCCACAAGTCTCCACCCGTAATCCCTGATGTCGGTGCCAGTTAGCATCCCAGMTGCAAGCTGATCAAGATGTGGAATGAGCAAACCCACAGCGGCAAGAACTGAAACCACTCAGCGCTCAGTGCCAGCAGGGACCTGGTGTCCAAGACCCCACACTCAAACCCAGGGCTTCACACTGGCCCCATCTGGGCATGTCCAGTACCAACAAAAACCTGAGTCTTCCTACTCCACTGTCCCTGCCAGCAATAATTTGAAGAACAAAACCTATTGTTAGAGTAAGATCCTTTACCAAAGAAAAGAGAGGTTGTAAACTGCACAAGAGAAAAGTCCCCATTCCCTGGTCACATTCAGGATGCAGCCGTTGTGGGTGGCTGTCCCGTGATACTGAAAGGGGACTGCAGCCCCAGTGCCAGCAGATCCCATGCAGACTGCAGGGGGTGTGGCCCGAGAGGAGCCACATGCCACCTCCTTGCCAACACAGTGCTCACACCCAGGGCCTACAGTGCCTTTAACCTTGCAGGCTGACACCTTCAGAAGCTTTTGCCATTGAGAATGCAGAGAGCTGGAGCAGAGGCCCAGCTCTGCCCATGAGGTCCTGCCCCACTGCCAGGGCAGTGCCTGGCTTGCACAGCCTCGTGGGTAAGAGGAAGAGCAAGCCTCGGCCTCTGGTGGGGTCAGTCTTTGTGGGGCCAGGGAAATGGCTGTTTTATGCCACTGCTGGGCCCAGCAATTCTAGTCTCATTAAGGACCAAAACCTCCAGGTCAGTGCTGCCCTCGGTGGTTGGGTGGAGGCCACCGGGTCCAGCAGAGCCGAGTAAGCCCTTCTGAAGAGCACCACAGTCACCACCTCATGACACTCTGGACCAAATCCACGGCACACACCTGCATGTGGCTCTGTCCCTCAGGAAGAAGTGTCCAGCCAGTCCTAGAGCCCCAAAGAGTGATGCAAATCTCAAAAGAGCTTCCTCAACCAACTAACAACATYGCAAGTTACCTGGGCCACTCGGAGCGGAACGGGACGTGGGACAGTTGCCAGGATGATCCAGGCAATCTCAGTGTTCCGCCTTGCAGAGGTGGTTGGTCTAAACGCCAGAGGGAGAAGGCGATAGAAGTCACAGCCTTCCTGTTGTGACAACTCGTCCCACTCCTAGAAACGCCCCCAGGAGGGAAGCAGGATGTGGGCCTGGGCTTGGGCGGGTACGGTGGCCTCAGGACAGGCTGCAGCTGGGTCTGAACCCAAGGGGGACCTGGGAGAGCTTTGTCTGGGAGTTGTAGTTTATGACCCACTAATTCCAGAGCAAGCCCCSGGAGCCCCTGTGGCCCAGTCCGCTTATTCTCTCCCCTTCTCCCTTCTCCTGGCTCTTCCCAAAGCCATGACAGGCTCTGGAGTGGGACTCCAGGAGTGGGACACCACATACCAGTGTCCCTTCTGGGTCACTCCCGTCAGCTCCAGTTCAGGATTCAGAAACACTGCCTGGCATGTGTGTAACGATGGTCCCGAGGGCATGGCAGCCACCTGACTCATACCCGGGAAGGTGCACATGGCCTGCCTCGCTCAGTGCATGCCACCTGAGCCAGGTACTGTAGCCACTCCCTATTAGGAGGGCCTCTGGGGAACCACCTSGGCCTGCAGGAGAGCCAGCACGTGGACCCTGCATACAGAGGGCACAGAGCCTGTTGGCCAAGGAGACTGTGGTGACGGAAGGACTGGATCAGAACCCAGGCAGGGGACACTTTTAACTGGACTGCATGAAAATTAGTGACTAATAATGACCCAGATGTCTGTGCCTTCTGCCCAAGGCCTCCTTAAGAGACAGGAGGAGCCGCTTCAGCAGGTAGGAGAATTACAAAGCATCTGCAATTGTCCCCACTGAGGGGAGAGTCCCAGGGAGTGAGTGCCATTGCCAAACAGAGGGAYGCCCACACCAGAGTGACAGGGTCTGGCGACACCAGGAACGCAGGGTCCCCAAAGACAGCAAGCACCCAGTAGTGCACCTGTGTGAGCATACATGGCTGCTGATGGAAGTCCACAGCTCTCATCAGAGTCTCAAAGGTACATCTGCTYCCAGAGAGGCTGAGAGGCGTTTATCTGTGTTAGTGTTGAGACTTAACCAGTTAATGCTACTGGTTTATTTTTACAGGAACAGACAGGTTCCTTGGAAAATTCCTGATTTGCGGGGAACTTTGTGTCCGCGCTCCTTGGTGGCTTCTGGGAGAACTGCAGGCACCTCCCTCCCAGGAGGCCTAGAGTCCAGCCAGGTCACTGGCYGCAGGGGCAGCTGGCGTGCTGAAGGACAGACTTCTCTAATTGGTAACTATGCAATCATGTTAACATGCATTATGAGGAGGTAATAAAGARGAAGACTTCAATGCACTGTGGTCTAGCTGTGGCAATTACAGAACAGGTGGCCATGGCAAAAGCAAAGGCAAGAGAATAAAAAATGACCACAGTCAGGAGCAGGATCTGACCCACCCCCTTGTTCTCTGATGAGGGTTAGAATGAGAGGATCTGACCAGAGGAGACACTGGACTTGGAGGTAAGGGCTGGRGCCCAGGGAAAGGGTCAGCCAGGGCGGCCTCGCAGTCCTCCTGGGGAACCACGCAGGAGAGGCCACTGAGACGGGGACTCAGGAGAAGAGCTGAATGGGGAGAGGGCAGCACACGTGGACAAGGCATGGCTAAAGCGACAGACACTTTCGTGGGTGAAAAGACAAACTCAGTAAAGGCCAGGGAGGTGTCCCGAGGGAGATTGAGGCGTGGGCAGGCACTGGGGACAAGTGGAGGGCAGAGCTGTGACTCTGAAGGAGCCAACACCTGGAGGTGTCTGAGACACCCGGACSGTGCAATGTCCCACAGCATGACCTAATACAGTCATAAATGCAGGATACCAGCTTTATTTTGGTTGATCYCGTTCTGTGAGGAGCAAAGCCAAGACTGTAGCAAAAGTCTCACACTCTGTCCACCCTGCTGTGGCTCAGATGCGAGGTATCCCCAGAACACCTGTGTGAGACAGTGCAAGAAGGCTTAAACCCCAAATCAGTGCGTTGGTCCCTGAAAGGAACCACTGGAGGTGTGAAGCAGGTGGGTATGGCTGGAGGAGGTACGTCCCTGGGGCTCGTGGAATATATATCTTGTCCCCACTGAGAGAACGGTCTCAGCTTCCTGGTGCCATATGCCCACCCACCATGATGATCTGCCTCTTMTTGGGCCCAGGGCCATGGAGTYGGCYACCTACGGACTGAGACCTCTGAAACTGTGAGTGACTAATAAACTTGTCCTCCTTTAAACCTGTTCTTGTCAGGTCTTTTGGCCATARCATCCAAACGCTGACTGGGACAAGCCTCTGCCAAATGCCCAGGAGAGAGGGCCTGGGGACCGATCACCCACTACTGGACCTGCCCAAGCCCTGGGCCTGGCCGCCTCACTCTTCCATCCAGATGTGGACGTGGTGGTTAAAGGAGACCTCCGGCACTTGTGGCCCTCAATACACAGAGGAACCTAGCCCCCAGAATTGCCGTGACAACTCCTGCCGGTCCACGGGCGAATGGACACACCAACCGAGGGCCATCCACACAGTGAAACCCCATCAGCCTTCAGGAGGAAGGATGTCTGATACCTACTGCAACATGGTAGACCTCAGGGATGTCACGTCAAGGGACAGATGCCAGTCACAAAGGACACACACTGTGACCGCACCTCCAGGAGGCACCCAGAGTCTCAGAGGCAGAGAAGGATCAGTGACGTCTGCAGGCAGGGAGTCCGGGTGCTGTTAGTGGGGGCAGAGTTTCAGTTCTGTGAGACAAAAYGTCCTGGAGATGGACAGTGGTGACAGGAGTATGCTTGGCACCACTGCTCTGTGCACCGAACGGTGACGACAAGGTGGATTGTATGTTGTGCACATTTTATTACAACAGAAATTAAACTAGTTACCGAAAGCACTCAGTAACTATTACACACGTGTTTGTTAAACAGAGACGATACACAGGCTGCGTAGACTGGGGTGAGAATGAGAAATAGCCCAGGATAMAGGAAGAACTATGGAGAAGGTCAGGCTGGAAGAGTCCCTGTGAACAGGCAGAGGACCGGAGGAGCAAGCCCAGAGTCGGCCTGCGGAGAATGCCCCTAAGAGGCCACCTCACAGTTCCTCAGGGCTCCCGCAGACAGGAAGGGTCTATAGTGCCCTGCCATGCACGCCACTTGGGGATGCCACTCTGGGGAAGGAGGGCCTCGCAGCCCAGCCAGGCTTCAAGGAGGCACCAAGACGAACTGCACAGCCTGTGCCCTGTGCTCAGCAGGGTCAGTCTGGCCTTGTGCTCGTGAGGGCAGCTGGAGGAGACTCCTGTCCCCCTCAGGCCTCACCAGGGAGGGGACAGGCAGGCAGTGACCCTCCACCTTTTAAACGTGCTAGTGGCGGGGACGCACCCTCAGAGGTCCGGCTTAGTTTATCTGTGGCGGAGCCTGGACAGCAATAGTTTTAAAACTCCTTGGATTCCAGCATGTAGCCAGATGGAGGCCCATTGGGTTGAAGGTCAGTGCCCTCCATGTCCCTCCTCCTCAGCAGGTCCCACATCTGCAGCTCAACCAACCATGGATCTACAACAGCCCCTGAAGAGTTGCATGGGTGCTGAACATCACAGGCTGGGTGGCCTGTTGTTATTCCCTGAACAGGGTGGTGAACCACGCAGGGTGTTCCCGTTGTGTTAGGTGTGGAAAGTCCCTAGAKGTGGTCTGAAGACACTGGGAGATGTGCACAGGCTCGTGCAGACACTGCACCATCTGATAAGGGACCTGAATGTCTGTGGGTGGGAGCCCTGGGGTCTAGGAAACACCACCCTGCAAACTTGAACAACTATAGTGCCAATACCAGGGAGCCTGGGGGTAAGGAACAAATCTGCTCAGAAGCCAGAGGAAGGCTCAGGACTGTCGGGCCACCTGTGGGTCTCACAGGGTGCTCAGGAGACCCGGCTGCCTGGACAGCCCCCCATCACCACCTCCTTGGACCCTTGGCTCCCAGAGCAAGCCAGTGCCTTGCTGCCTCAGGCCCTGGTTGAAGCTCTCCTGTCAATCAAATAGCAGAAGGGGCTTCTTTCTCTAGCAGMATGACCCCCAGGTCACTTCCCTCTGGAAAGACCCACCTGCCCCAATAAGGGACACCTCCCAGGAAAAAGCAGCTGGGGGGTCTCCACGGCTAAGCCCCTCCCAGCCCAAGAGAAGATGAGGGAGTGTGGTGGTGACCACCAAGTACTCACTGCTGAGCAGCAACCTGCAGGATGGCTTGGGCCTGCACAGCCAGGTGGCCCAGGAAGCTGCGGAGAGCCGGCTGCCTCGAAGGGAGCCCCAGATGCAGCCCACCTGACTCTCGCTCCAGGTCTTCTAACCTCTGTTTCAGCACCTCAGCTGGGACCCCAAAGCAGGAGAGAGAAGAAAGACTGTGAGACTCAAGGCAGATAAGCCAGGCCTCTCCCCACAGCCCCAGCCYGCCCTTGCCAGAGTAAACCAGGGGAAGGGGCTGGTTTCCAGGCCAGCGGCGCCCCTGAGAGAGCTTCTGAGAATTGCTTCTCTAGCCACAGCGGGGTCCCCACCTCACATCAAGGGGAAACAAGCTAGTGCCCGAGATTTGATTTTAAGAATGTTTCCTCCACCACCACAWCCAGGTACAGCCCGTGACAGCTCCCAAGGCCACTGAGGCAGAGTTCACCTCCCTACGCTGGCCATGCAGCCACATCTGCCGTAAAGTGGGGGGTCCTGTGATGGGGCCCCAGGTCTCCAGACAAGGGATGAATATGGAGTCACTGCAGAAACCCGGCTCCCCTCCCACGGGGACTCGCCTCGTGAGCAAATTCCTAAAGAACTAGAAAATTTCCCGGAAAGCTCTGTGCCAGAGGTCTCAGGATGCCATTCCTCAGGCTTCTGTCCTGGTGGCCCTTCCCAGGCAGGTACACCYTGGCTGCAAACCTCTCCTCCAGAGGTCTTGGGTGGAGGACAAGGTCCCAGGGAGCCACCTCCAGCCCGAGAACACTCTGCCCCTCCTAAACGCCTGCACAGCCCCAGGGTCCACAGGCCATTTGCCAACAGGGGCACTCCCACGGATCTTGTCCTAAATTAAAAGTTTCAACAAGCTTGTCACTTTGAACAATGCATTTCATCAGTCAGAGGCAGTAAACACRGGCCACAGGGCACCTCTGGACTTGACTCTTCTTCCATGCTGGACCCCTCCCAGGGCGCACCCTGGATGAAGCAAAGACAGTGAGCAGGTGTCCAGATAGATGTCCCATCTCTGTGCTGACCACTGACAGCCCTTCCCACAAACTGCCAAATGCCCTGGAAGCAATAGCCAGAAGCTGCCTCAGGGAATTTAGCAAAGGTCATTMTAAGGGGTGTGGTGGCCACACCTGTAATCCAGGCCACTGGGGAAGCTGAGGCAAGAGGATGGCAGGTTCTAGGCCAGCCTCAGGAACTTTGCRAGGCCCTGTCTCAAAATAAAAATTAAAAGGTCTGGGGATATAGGTCTGTGGTACAGCACCCTGGGTTAGTCCCTGGTACCACCAAAAAAAGAAAAAAAAGAATCATTCTAAGGACACTGGCCAGAGCCCCATTGGGATGGTCACCAGCAACCTCATAGCCTCACGCCTCCCAAAGTGCCTCTTACTCCTGCAGTCCACCAGCCATCGGCTACTGGGGCCAGCTTCACGTCTGGATGGCACTAAAGGTGTGTTACCCTCTGGGTTCCCCAAGTTACACCCCTGTTCACTGATCAGCTGTTCCAAGAAGAGGGAGCTCCCAGCCAGCACCGAGGCCCTGAGGTGCCAAGCACTCCAAGTCTAAGGGACATTCTGATGGGAAACCAAAGAGACCAGGAGAGAGGGTAGGGGATGGGCTTGGTCGTCAGAGCCACATGAACTTGTAAGGACTTTGGTGTTGACCCCAAGGAAGATGGGAGCCATCAAAGGGTTTTGAGTGGAAGAATCCATGACCCAACTCATGGTCAGCAGGATCCCTGGCTGCTGTGCTGGGAACACCTGTCAGAGGGTGCACTGARGTTCAGTGGAGGCCACCCGCCCACTGCTCCTCAGCACACACAGTGAGTGCCTGTCCTTGAGCTGCAGGGTGGAGTCGCATGACAGGGAGCAGCCTCCTAGGTCCATGAAGGAAGAAGCCACACACAACGGCGGCCTGCAGAGCAGGTTGGTCCCTGCTGCTCTGTGGGGTCACGGAACAGGTGGCATGAGGCATCTGAGAAGCCAGGCAGCCACTCTACATGCTGAGGGCCTCCAGGGCTGACRTCTTCTCAAGCCACCATGCTCCAGTGTTTACAGAATGGCCAGGAAAGCACTTCCTTGAGAGCTGCTCTTCAACTCACATTGCCACACTTGCTGTGTAGTGGACCAGTTTGCTGAGAGTCGCACTGTGATGAGATGCGTCCCCACCGTCCCGAGCACCCCCCTGAGCCTGTCTGCTCCAGATTCGTTTCAGGCTTACTGCAGCCTCCAGGCAAGATGACCACTGCTAGTGTCTGCCACGTGCCCAGTGTTACGTGTATGATCCCCAAGCTTCTCGACAACCCACAGAATGAGTCACTGATGTGTAGAGGGAAACACCGAAAGCTTAAGTGACCTACCCAGGCCTTGAGGCCCACCTGCAGCGGAGGCAGATTGGAGCCGATCTTTTCTGGCGCCAACCTCTGGGTTTTTCCATTCCACTTCACAGGAGCACCCCAAAGCTCACCTCCCCTAGCATGCACCCGTGMCACAGGGGTCTTTTCTGCCTATTCACTTGCCTGGGCCCGGAAGTGATGAGACCCACCTGGTGGAGGCTGAGCCTTATCCACCTGTCTTGCCAAGAGCTGGCTCAGTGCCAGCCACAGGATAGGCACTGAGGGAGTGCTGGGTGAACAAGTGAACCAACATCTCTGTTTCCGTAAATAGGGACGCYGCCACCACCTGGGAGCTCTGGGGGTGCCTGGCACAGAGCCGTACGTCATCCATTTCACCTGCATGGAGGCCCCACAAGGGAGACTGTGATTTCCACTTTGCAAATAAAAAACTGGGGCTTGCAGAAAGCTGAGGAAATTCTTCTAGGTGCGTCACACAACCRTGTGGACTCAGAAGCAAAGACAAGTCTGTCTGAGGCCAAAGCCCCTGTCCTCACCCCTGTTCTTCCCATGGGTGGACATCACTCAGGTTTCCTGTGGCCACTCAGCCAGTGTCTCAGGCCAAKGATGCGGACTACACAGCAGCTCATCCTCCGCCACACTGCCCCTCTCCCAYAGGAGGTGCCCAGCAACCACAGAGCACACACAGGGATAGTCAGTAGCCCTCAGATGTCCACTCCTGGTAGGAGGCAGCAAGGGGTATTTTAATATTTCAAGACGGAAACAGGGAGCACAACGACAGGCGCACATTGTCTGTACTTGATGACTACAGGGATGTTCAGTGAGAAACAAACCTGAGAGGAAACAGGAGTGTCGGCTATCAGCTGTGTGATGGGGAGTGATTTCATCTCAATTTCTCTCTCACTGAATCAGCTGCGCAATCTTGAGCTGCTTTTATTTAGAAAGTTATTAACTTGCTGGTTCCTTATGCTAGTCTTTGATTTCTGCATAAAAATGGAGATTTGGTTTCCTCAGATTCCTGATGCTAAGCTGCTTAGAGTAAGCCTGGCTTCTGTGGGTCACTCCGCCTTTCAGGGGACACCAAAGAGGATTTCTGGAAGCTCATCTTCTGTGCGTGCGAGGTGTGGAGGGAAGGCTGGGAAATCGCTCTGACGTGGCATCAAAGGGAAGCAAGTCTCGGGAGGGACAGGAACRCGGGCAGAAGAGCGCTAATTTGACRGTGACGCTKGCCCACTCAGCACTTCGCTGTCGGCCCTGTCCTTGGTATATACTCATTGATTTGCTCTGACAATATTTCAACAGAAGGTGAGGTTTGAAGCATCTGTTCTCCCCCAGCAAAAATTTACCATGCAAAATAATTAAATTGTGAGTGATCACAAATTGCAAAAGTAGGGGGATTTCCAATGCTCGCCCTAGGTCCTGGGYGCATGGCAGGATTAGCAACCTGTGTGCAGGGGCATGTGTGGGTGTGCATGCGTGCTGTCAACACACCCTGCAGGCAATGCTAGAGCAGCAGTGCACGGGCACATCAGAAACCACACGCCCTGAGGGGGCAGCTTCCAGGAAGAGCGCGACTCCGCATCACACTCCAGAACCTTCCTTGCCTCGACACTCCACTGGAGTCCAGTGTCCCTCCACAAACACCAAACACCMGGGGTCCTAGGGAAGCCACTAACCCACCAACTGAAATTTGGTTACTTTTCAGTAAACCCTCATATTTTCAGGACTGTACATAAAAATCCTCCCTAGAGTTGTGTTTTCACAGTGAAAAACTGGTCACTTGCATATGTGGTCCAGGCTCATGGCTCAGAATCAGGGGTGGAGGAATCTCCACTGGCACCTGTCCAGGGAAAGAGGGATGAGCTCGTACACCTCTTCCTAAGTCCATGGAAGCCACCAGACCATCAGTGTTACAATTGCCACAACCTCATGGATGTCCCACCATYATCACCACCAATAATCACCACTACTACCACCATCACTACCATATCCTCCATAACCACCACTACCTCCAYCACCACCACCACCACCTATCACCACCACCATGAGCCTGCCCCCGTGCACCAGCACTCCCACCACCATCGCTGCGCAACACCATTCCTGTGGCCCCTACTGATTACTAGGAGACAGAGCCACTCAACTCTCTGCTGTTTGTTAAGAGACTGAGTCAAAAGTTCTTACTAAAGAAGGGGACACGTTCTTCACATCATTTCTAAGTTGTTATGTTACAGAAAACTCACAAGAATGGGCAAGAGAGGAAAATCGACTCCCCGTCAACAGAAGCCCAAAGGGACACATGGCACCATACTGACAGCATCCACAGTGGCCGTGACTCCGTCTGGTATATATTTGAACTGTCTAAAGACTAGATTCAGGGTTGGGAATATAACAGTGGTGTGAGGCGTGGAAAGCCCCGAGTGTCACAGAGGCTGGTTTTTGTCGAGCCCGTCTCTGCCCTCCAGCTCAGCTGTACAGAATGTGCTGCTCACCTCCCTTCCTCACGACCCTTCAAGCCTTCATGACCTGARAGTCCTTGTGACAGTGGTCACCAAGAGGGGATTCGCGGCTTAGCAGGGCTCCCACACCCACGGGATGGGGTTGGGGCTTAAGAGCAGTCTGACACCTGCCTCCCACCCGACCTGAGACCTCTCCTGATGTAATGTTGAACTGTCAGAACCTCTCTCAGCCTCTGCTCCTCCACAGCGAAATGGCCTCGCCTGGGGACATCCCTGGGCAGAGGGCCCAATCCTAGGTCAGGGCTGCCTGATCAGCACAAGGCAGGGTG